CATCACGAGGACCATCACCCTAGGAATATCAAAGGCCTTTGACAAAGTGTGACACCAGAGGCTGCTATATAAACTCTAGAAGATGGCTTTCTCGATTATCGAGTCCTTCCTAACAGGTAGGTTCATGAAGGTCGTCGTTAATGGCAGTCATCGAAAACCCGTACCGGCGTTCCTCAAGGCTCTCTTCTCAGTCTTACCTATTTTCTGCTTTATATTAATGATCTGCATAAGAACATTCTCCGATCTTTAGTGAATTTATATGTGAATGATACAACGGTTTATAGGGACGCCTCTAAAAATCTGGATAACCAGAACTTAACAACTGATCTCACCTCTGACCTAGCCCTGGTGGTTCAGTGGAGGAAGGGCAGGTTTGTAAAATTCAGTATGTCCAAAACCAAACTAGTAACGCCCACCATCACCAAGCAGACCTATCATGGTGGATTGGGTGTTCTCTCAAGGAAGCTCCTTGCCTTGAACGTCTGTTGGGATTCATGTTCACCCCAGATTTGAAGTGGAGCTATTGCTAAAGAGACTGGCAAAATGGTTTCTACATTATACCGCTCTAGTAAGTAACCGACTCCTCTTGTTATACACTATATTTACAAGAGATAAAAAAAAATGGAATATTGCTGGAGCTGTCCAGTACTCACCTGCCTGATCTGATAGAGTTCAAAAGCGTTTACGCAGCCTTTTGGGTGATAAATTATTTTCCACCCGACAACCCCATTTCCCACAGATGAAACGTCGCAAGCTTCTCGCTATTCTATCGTTATTTCCATAGCAAGAGTTCTGACGCGCTACATTCCTTGGTCCCACAAGCCCTGACCTTTGCAACCTGTACCCGTCATGTCACGTGCACAAGGATGAATCATCCTCACTCCCCGCGTTTTCCATTTGTAAGAAGTAAGTTCCACTTGGACAGCTTCTTACCAAGAACTGTTGCTTTGCGAAACAGACTCCCGGTAGCATGTTTTCCTCATCCCTACACTCTTGACCTCTTCAAGCACTAGATTAACCGTTATCTTTTCAACATAACCCCATGAACTTCACTTCTTGCCTTTTCTTATGCTCATACAACACTATACGGTAACACTCTACCTTGAGTAGCTCTCGGGCCTTGTATTGAGTGAATCTTATATAAAAAGTATAGTAAAAAGAAAAGAGACTGGAAACACGAGGTTAGTGTTTCAGACTCCACAAGACTTAGTAAATATCACCTACAACTGCATGAGATTCGATCTGTACTAAGTACCTAAGTACTTTTCTTCAAGCCTTTCCTTTATTAAAATTCACAATGATGATACGAATCATTACTACACTATGATCACAACTGAAACGATACAGAAACCTAAAACCTTTATCCGTATTTCCCTCACATATCTGCAAACTCGAAGATTAAATACCAATGGTCTACTACAATTCTCCCTGCCCGTCATAACCATTCTTGAACTCCCACGTTTGAATTCCCACGTGTCTGCGTCAAAATTCTATTGTTCTGTGGAAGATGTCATACAAAGTACTCAATCATCGTGATTGACTTTGTCGTTAGCAATACACTACGACAGACGAGCAATCCCAAAAGAAGTTGTGTTAAGTCGAAGTTTGGATTTTCATAAAAGTTTTCAACCGAATAAATTCTATCTTCAGATGATTGTGACTTCGGTAAAGAATGTTATCTTTTTTATTTTGTTCGACTTGATAAGACAGTGTTTGTTACATTTCTTCGTGCGTTGATAAGTATCGTTGCCACTTTTTGTGAACTGTAAATACTTTGAACATTCGCTGTGGCATTGAGGAAATATCAGCAGAGTTGGCTCTTTATCCTTGATTGTCAACCAAAATCTACAAGGACAGCTTTAAATTCAAAACCGGTTGTTGGAGTGAAACTCCACCCTGGAAAAACTATTTACGACAGAAACCACAGCAGCATGTTAAGCTGTGTCTCTATTTTTCATACGGAAATCCATACATATTACAATGTACTTTGAAGCAAAGAAACAATTTATTTTTCAATTTACATCTAACACATGTCCTTAGTTATTTCAACCTATTTGCGGATACAAATCCCTTTATGTGAATATAGTTTTCTTCCAAGCGAAAATTAATCACGTGACATTCTTTTCTAATTTTTTTCCACCTCTAAATTTCATCAACACTAATTCTAGAAATTGGTCAAACTACTTTATTCATGCATCTCTCTGTTATCGTTCCTTTCCGATTTTACTCTTTCTTTCCAACTTTTCTTAATTTCTTCATTCAATCGTTTATTATTGTTTTAATGTATTGGTCATTTATTGGTCAATCTGTACATCATTTTTTGCATTAACCAAACGAATCCTTTGCTATTTGTGACGATTGAGATTGGTGACATATTTGGTAGTTATTCTAAATTGATTGATTGCAGTCAAGATTATGAAATCACTGTAAAAACTATATAATCTTTTTGATAGATGCATAGCAAAGTGCTTCGCTAGGGCTACATACGGTTTTGAAAAAGTAAGTGATTGTAGAAAATTAAGGTATACAAATACGAATTTAACGATGTAACAATAATGCCACCAACTCTGTGTCGATGAAACAGAGCAGACTATATGTGACAAACTGAATGTCATCATTCGCTTGAAAATAGACACCCCGACTTAACCGCTTTCCGAAAGTAACTAATATGTTGATACAATATGTTCGCCTTTACGCCCCTTATTACAATAAGTGGTTTCACCATTTCCATGTACTTAATATTACGAAGGTATATGCTTATAAAGCTCCGCAAATTTCAAGATTAGTAATTCCAAAATTCGCTTGAGGATGAAACAGCTGTTTTTTAGATTTTATTTTTGAAACGAGAACTCTTATGTAGCGATGGAATCATATTTTTAAAAAATAATTATATATATATATTATAATCAATTTTTAAAAATGATTTTTTTTAATTTAATTAATTTTTTTTCTAAAAGGGTTGTTTGTATATAAATACAGTTAGTTTTTTTTTTGACGACTTCATAAAGGGTTGAGCTTTTAAGCCTTTTGCTTGAAATTGTTTATGGACTATGAAATTTAAAAAATTTGAAGCGAATTATTTAAGGCGAAAATTTGTTGATGTCGACAGAAAACCGTTAACTCATGTCTATGATTCAATAAATTTTCATTTTTTAGAAACTTAATAATGTGTAGTTTTTCATGTAGACATAAGGGGCATGGGTCATCCGAGGTCTTGCAAGTTCTTGTTCTATTTATAAATATCTATAATCTATTTTATTAAGGGTTTGTTTCAATTTTTTAACATAAATATAAAAAAAATCCTGAAGGTATCTATTATTTTTATGAAAAGTATGGATGTATTTTTAACAAGAATTTTTCTAAATTGCGAATGTAGACAGGCATGTTGTTGTGAAAGTTGAGAGATGTTAAGTGCAAATGAATACTCAACCTTCTAGACAACGTAATTGTTGCATTACCAACTATTATTTTTCAATTATTTTTTATTAGCAAAAACAAGACCCTGAAGATGATATTGTGCTAATGTCGAAAGTACTCAGGAATAAAATGGATATACATCACCATAGTAATTTTCTTTCTTCCTTTAATAAGGATACTAAGAAACTCGTCTGTAAATATGAGAGGATCCTATTAAGAATAAGTAGACAAAACTTGTCTAAACTATTTAATGAGACATGTCTTAATGAAAACATGCTGCCAATATATATATATATATATATATATATATATATTACTGTTTAACCCTAGGTTTGGTAAAATTATTTTGAAATTACTAAAGAAAATTCACAGTTAATTCATTGATCATTGCTAGTTTTCTTAGCTAAAAAATAAATGATTTTCCTATTCTCTAAAGATGATTGACATTTCAGTTATGATGTTGTGATTCCTGTTAACTTTATTTTCTATTTTTAATATATAATTGTTATAAGTATTAAATATTATTATTGTCCACCTATATGTTTTATCTTTCTCTCTATGCCCATTATATAGCAATAAAAATGCTATGATACAAGACTTTTGATTCTTCTCTCTAGCCCAGCGGTTTTATACTAATGGCCAAAATGGCTACTGAAAAGACATAAAACGTTATTTGTCAGCACTTTTAACTTAACTCTCTCAAGAACTAGAATTGTTTGTTGATTTCCATAAAACTATTTTCCCAGGAATTAAAGAATTGAGTGTTTCTTTCATGAAGTAAACATGCCGTTTCCTGGTCCAAATAGTTTAAAATATGTGCCACAAAGAAAGAGTGAAATATTATCATTTTCTCTTTCTTGTAGAAAAGCTACCATTTTTGCTAATCTGCAGAATATAATTAAAATAATTATCTGTTTTGGGCAACAGCAAATTCATTACAATTCTGATTCATGGAGCTAAACTGAGAAATTATCTGTCGTTTGTATAATTATTTCAAGTGAACAAGAAATCTCAACCACCTTTCAATGTAATGATTGAGAAAAGATTTAAATTTCTTGGGAATATTACCTTGCTTGGGGGTGAAATGATTTTTTTTTAAAATCAATATCAGGATATTATAGCATTTTTACAAGTAAAAAAAAATGATAAGAATTAGGAAAAGACATTTTTGTTCTGTTTTATCAAAGGTTATTTTGTGATAACAAATGTAATCATCTTCACTCCTAATCATTTTGTGATATGTTTTTATTGACAATAATAATTATCTACCAAATGATGGATTTTCTGTGTAAAAGGAAAACCCATTAGTATATGAATCACTTGAGAGCAAGCATAATTCTCACTCATCTATGGTCAAAACACACTGAAAACCCAGTTCTTATTCAATCACAAACATTAAGCAGTATTGATCGCAGTCATTACTTAGATGGGTGACTGCTTGGGAAAACCAGGTACAGTAAGCAACTTTTTACAATCCAAAATATGTTTCATATTTAAATACTTCACAAAGGATTAAGTCATAAAATAATCAGTCCTCACTCTTGTTTTCATAATTTAACATTTTATATGATTTCATTTTGCAGGTCTTCTGGCCAGTTCTTTATTTCGATTCCGGGAAACAGTATGCGACGGTAAAATGCTTCACATTAATTGTCCAGAGGGTTCTGTCATCAGCATCCAGTTTTCTCAATATGGACATAGTTCTTCGGATTATCAAACCTGTACATCAATAACAACTTATTTTGGGGAGCAACTTCAGATGGCACGAGATACAGACTGTTTTGTATCAAATGCACTTGAGGTAAAGAATTTATGTATATACACGCGCATGCACATCACATTTATGTACATACACACACGCAGCTAAATTCATAGCCTAATGATAAGAATACATTTATTTTCTGCAATAAATATGTTCTCTCTTTCTGCATAATCTCCTTCCTTCAAAAGACACTTAACACAGCTCTTCTCACATGTTGGTTGCCTACTCAATTTCAAATGTAACCACTTTCTTAGATTAACAATTGCTTGGTTCTTTTGTATAAGAAAGACCTTGTAACTCAGAGACATTATAGTGACAGACACTTGTACAGTACGAATAGCACTCTCTGAATTTCCATAATTCAATGCTAAGAATGCTCAAGGTAATTGGTAATGGTTTCAGTTGCAGATTTTATTTCAGAGTTTGCCTCTCATCGACTGGGGTTGCTTTCCCTAAGCTTAAGATCTGATCTGTTGTGTTCAGTTATGGTGACCAATGGCAGAGTTTTCCTTCTCTAGATTGGTTGTCTTCAGTACAACTAACAAGCTACATCTGCTTTCATACATGAAAAACATAGATATACAGTCACTCACAGAGCTAACATGAAAAAATAAAAAGTAAAAATAGATCACATAGATCTAAAATTAAACAGTAAAAGTTTTTAATCCCAAGGGAGAAGCTTATATGAATCGCAATCTTCAGGCCATATATATATATATATATATATATATAGATGAAGATTGTGTTTAAGCGTGAAACAGACTATTGCCACTCGGTTTTCACTCATATTTACACACACTCTATCTTCTGATATTGAGCACTTTTACCTATAAATATAGCATAACTTAAAACTATATTTTTATTACATGATAGATGCAACTTGATTTGTAATAGTTGTTACATTAATGTTTTGATGAATTTCAAATGGTATTTTAATCCACCAACTGGAGGGAGCACTTTTTTTTACATTCTCTGTAAGAAGAAATATCACATAATGTGTAGTGAATGACTTCTCTGTGTGTGATATCTTTGATGATTTTTTTAGGCCTACCCCTACTTAGGCAGATGCAACCACATTCATTACAAATTAAATCAAATTCTGTGGTCATATTTTCCAGGAAATTAACATCAAGACATTTACATCTCAAGTTTTTCATGTGCAACACAATTCTGTTCAAAGTCTCTCTTTTACCAGTGTGCACTGTTTCCTCAGAGATGAACAATCTAGAGCCACAGTTTTCCCAGTTATTTAGCATAATGTTGGCCTTCTGCAGTGTGTTCATGATGCAGTCTTTATACCTCAATTCTGAATTGTGTGTTAGTCTTTACTTTCATCCAATTTCCCATAACCACTTAAGGATCCTATTGTCCTTCATCCTGACCACTCCATCTTAACTGATGCTGAGGAACTAGAGACTCTATACTGGTAGACTTGACTGCATTAAAAAATATCAACATCATTCACATACATTTGCTACTAGATACCTAATAAACAGATGAGATACTATTGATTAAATCACTCTAGCCTTTCCAGGCATGTCCAGTAAGTGGTTCAAATCTCATAAGCATGTAACAATGGAGACAAAACACAAGTATGCTAAACCTTTAACTTTGTCTCCACAGTAGAAATTAAATTAATCTCACAGGACTTTGAGACAAAAGAATTCCAATCAGTGTACAAGCCAGTAAACCTTGAAACTATATTTCTATCATATATATATATATATATATATATATATATATATATATGTGTGTGTGTGTGTGGTGGGGTTGTGCATTGTTATTTTTTTAAACAATATAGGCACAAGCTAATATTTATTTGATCAGAAGTGATGAATGTGCATAATGCTTGCAATATAAGCAGATTATCTATCAATCAACTGTAGGCCCTCAATATAGTGTGAAAAGCTGCTTTTCCGAAAACTTTTCTCCTTTTCCATTTTTCTACCATCATCCTCTACCACTAAGCAGAAATATGTTTCTAATGATTTTACAAATATTTAATAAATTCATTCACATTCATAATAATATTTACATTAAACAATGTAAATATTATTATGAATGTGAATGAATAAACAGCTTTTCTTATTGATTCAAATCAAATGATTTATTCTAGAAAAAATTACCTGTCAAAATAATTTGTAATAAAATTTCCTCCTCTTTTGTCTCACCTATTTCATCCAGATGAAATCAAATTATTGACATTTTTCACTATATAAAGGCCAATGTAAGAGACTATCATCATAATTTGACACAATTTCTTCTGTCAAAAATCACATTGAAGCCAGTATCTATGTGACCCACATAGATTTTGCAATGTAAGAAAATCATATTTAAGAGTCCATAATATCTTTTAATTGAAATCATATTCAAAGATCAATACCTGCTTGCATTTCAGGTTAAGTGAACAGTGAATTTTAAAACTGGATATTTTTGTAAACAATGTTTTAAATGTAAAATACAAGTGAAAGAAAAAGTGACTGAAAAAGAAAATCTATAATAAAATTTTTTAAAAATTACTAAAATTTCTTTAGGCATTTAAAATTATTTTTAAGATAATTATCAAGATTATTGCTGTCATCATTATTGATTTTTTTTCTTTGACGATATTTGCATATGACAGACTTTACAAGTACAAGACTGACAAACCAAGGCACAAAATGATGAATGAACAAATCCTGTTACTATAATCTGGAGTTAATCATTCATTGTTGTTGCTCTTCTTTTAATCTTTGCATTTTTATTTTCTGTTCAGTAAATATTTACTTAGAAGAATTCTACAATATTTCTTATTTTTCTCAATTCATTCTGGGATTATTTTTTACAATATTTTTTATTTCTTGTTTTCCAAATATTTACTTAACATAATTTGAGGAATTTTGTTTTTAAAAAGTTTCTTTCTTTTGAAAGCTATTGCTAAATAATCCGTTCTTAAGAATGGCTTTTCTCTCTCTCTCTCTCTCTCTTTTTTTTTTAAATATTTCAAATATAGATCAGAATGATAGGCAGAAAATCTTAGACATATCATTTGGCAGAGAATCAATGTTTTTTTTTGGGGGGGGGGTTCTCCCTTCCAAAGATATCAATCAGTGACACAAAGTACTGTTAAACAAGCACAATGACCTGAGTTCAAATCTTGGTGAATACCTATCCATGTGTTCATATGATGTGGGAATTGGTTAAAAGTATTTCTAATATCATTTAGTTTTTAGCATCCTATATTTTATTCAATTATATCAAGCACTTTAAGAATAAGAAAACTAGTTGATGCAACTTCAACAGGAAGATCATTTAATACCTGGGAGTCGTTCAGTAAAAATTGGCAGTAATGAGAATTGAAAATGAAATCCACAAAAAAAACATTATTTCATCAGAATGTGATAATTAACTTCAGAAAAATAAAGATCAGCTTTGTATAGAATATGATTTCATTTGACAGCAGAAAGGAATTTATTCCAAAACATAATCACTATTTCACATACAAAACCTGTTTTAAAATAAAAGGAATTTTCCATTACTCTTTTGTATTACAGCATTTGATCTTTACTAATTTAACAATATTATACATGCATAGAAGTAGACTAAATATAATGTTAAACATGTTAGCATTAAATTCTCTTCATTAAAGACCAGAACGTCATGAAAATATATAATTTTTTTTCTCATATTTTTAAACAGATCTTTAAAGATCATGGTCAGAATATTTTCATTCATTAAAAGGATAACTGAGCCTTGGCTTGCTGTGAGGTCTCTAGTGGCTGAAAAGGGAAAGAATGTTTTATTTCAAGGATGTTTTCCCAGAATAAAAGAAATGTTGGTTATGTGAGCATAGTCACAAGTCACCATGATATAGGGGGATAGAATGTACTAGCTTTGTTCAACTAAATTCACACAAAATTATACACACACACACACACACACACAAAAAAAAAAAAAAACTGTAACTAGGTTTTTCTTCAGCATAGTTGCACTATAAGCCACAAGTGGGCTCTGTGTATGTACTTGAGCATATATTCATAACAGGGATATTAGCCACCCTACTAAACACTTTAGTCTTCTTAAACTATATATCACCATTTGTCTAAGTACACATCACCAAGTTCACAAAACTTTAATACACTAGGTGCCATAGTAAATGTGAGTTCAATCCCTGGGCTAGGTAGTGTACTTGGACTCAGTGGAAATGGGTCAATAAAGAACTGAGCAGGATTAAAAATAAAACTAGATGAGATATCCCTAGACATGTGGAGTGGAATAAGAACAGTCTACTCCTGTAGATTAAATAAAAAGTTTAGTTCAAAATTTTCTGAAGGTTACCTGAATCAACAAGCACCTGATGAAGGCTGGAAGGTACAATAAGTGAAACTGTATAACAACAAAAATGAGGACAATAGTGCCAGTGCAGCAAAAATTAGAAACAGCTACCTAATAGTGTGTAGCTTCACTTTTCACTTGCAATATGATGTGGTATGGAGTCTGAGAAGCAAATGTAGTCATTGCCTATATATATATATATATATATATATATATATATATCTCAGTTTTGACTCCCCCAAACTAAGGGTGTACATTTTAAATGCAGGTATGTACAAATATAAATTTGTATATGCATAGTATTTTTTTATAGACACATGTTTGCATAAATATCCCTAAATGTCTCTTTCTTCATACAGTGTGGACAGAAATCAAAATTGGTTGGTGATTGTACACACACTTACAAACAACTTCTCATTTATTACCTATAGTGGAAGTGTGTGTGTTTTTGTTTTGTTTTTCTCTGGTTTTTAATAGACTTCCTTTCGTTTTAACCCAACTTCACAATGTCCTCTTCTTCCTTCTTTTTTTAATCTGGTTTCAAATGTTTTTCATGGAATGGAAAACTCCATTCCTTGAATATTTGAATGGTGTTATTTTTTTATTTACTTTTTTAGCTTGTGACTTTTAAATTATTTCAGCATTCTTTAACTATTTCACAAACATGCCAGCCACAATATAAGAACAAAAAAATCGAAAAACCTACAAAAGAAATTGCTGCATAA